CAGTTTCCAATATCATTACTGAAGAACACTACTTTTCTCCACTGTGTGTTATATTGGCACTTCTGTGAAGGTCAATTGACTATAAACTATAGATTTATTTTGGGCTCTCATTCTGTTTCATTGTGTATGTGTCTATTTTTTGTATCAGTTCCATGGCTACTTTGATTACTATAGTTTGTAGTATAGTTTGAAATTTGCAGTGTGATACCTCCATCTGTTATTTTGTTCAAGATTGCCTTGGCTATTGGGGTCTTTTGTGGTTTTACACAAATTTAGGATTGTTTTCTTTTCTGTGAAAAAGATAATTGGAATTTTGATTAGGGACTGCATTGAATCTGTAGATTGCTTTGGGTGGTACATTTAACAATATTAACTTATCTAATCCATAAACACAGGGTATCTTCCATTTATTTTTATCTCTTTAATTTCTCTTATCAATGTTTAGAGTTTCACTTTCTTGGTTAAATTTATTCTAAGTTTTTTTTTTTTTTTTTTTTTTGATGCTACTGTAAACAGGACTGCTTTCATTCTTTCTTGGATAGTTTGTTGTTAGTGTATAAAAGCATTGACTGATTTTATATTTAATTCCATATCCTGTAATTTACTATTTAATGTATTTGCTGCTAGTTCTAACAGGTTTTGGTGGACCATGAACTGTTTCATCTTGTAAAGCTCAAACTCTGTGCCATTAAATAGATTTCTCATTTCTTCTTCCTATAGCCCTGGCAACACCATTCTACTCTCTGCATCTATAAGTCTGGCTACTCTTAAATACCTCATATAAGTAGAATCAGATAGTATTTCCTTTTTGTGATTGCCTATTTCACTTAGCATAATATCCTCAAGGTCTTATAGCATAGGTCAAATTTCCTTCATGACTGAATAGTATTTAGTGTGGTGTGTGTGTGTGTATACCATTTTGCTTTCCATTCATCTGTCAATGAAAGCTTGGGTTGCTTCCATGTTTTAGATACTATGAATAATGCTGCTGTAAACATGGTTGACAAATATTTCTTCAAGACCCCATTTTCAATTCTTTTTGGGTATATACCCAGAAGTGGAACTGCTGGATCATATGGTAATTCTATTTTTAGTTTTGAGAATGTCATACAGTTTTCTACATTGGCTGAATCATTTTACATTAACAAGGCACCTATTTATCCACATCCTTGCCAATATTTGTTATTTTCTAGTTTTAAACTGATATTTAATTTGCTTTTTCTAATGATTGAAGATGTTGAGTATCTTCTGTGATTATTGGCCATTTGTATACTGTACCTTCTTTGAGAAATGTCTATTGAATTCTTTGCCCATTTAAAAATATTTTAATACTTTTTAGTTTCTTTTTAAGCTTTTATTATTATTTTAAATTTGACATTGAGTTGTACATATTTTGGGTACAAGGTGATATTTTGATACGTGGATTACAATGTATAATGATCAAATCAGGGTAATAGAATATCCTATCATCTCAAACATTTATCATTTCTTTGTGTTGGGAACATTTAAAATTTGCTCTTCTAGCTATTTGAAATATACAATAAATTATTTTATAGTCACCTAATAGTGCTATAGAACACTAGAACTTATTCCTCTTATCTAGCTGTACTTTTGTATGTAGTAAGCAACCTTTGCTTTTCACTTTTTGGAAATTCCTAATTTTGCTGTTGTTGATTTCAGGAGTTCTCTATAATATATTCTGGTATTAATCCTTATCAGATACACGATTCGCAAATATGTCTCCAATTCTGTGGATTGCCTTTTTACTGTGTTGATAATTATCTTTTTTTTGAGACAGAATCTCACTCTGTTGCCCTGGTTGAGTGCCGTGGTGTCAGGCTAGTTCCACCGCAACCTCAAAATCCTGGGCTCAAGCGATCCTACTGCCTCAGCCTCCCAAAGTAGCTGGGACTACAGGCACGTGCCACCATGCCCGGCTAATTTTTTCTATATATTTTTAGTTGGCCAATTAATTTCTTTCTTTTTTTAGTAGAGATGGGGTCTTGCTCTTGCTCAGGCTGGTTTTGAACTCCTGACCTTGAGCCACCCTCCCGCCTCAGCCTCCCAGAGTGCTAAGATTATAGGCAGGAGCCACTGCGCCCGGCGGAATTTATTGTTTTTTTTTTTTTTTGAGACGTCTTACTTTATTGCCGGTGGGTGTCGCTCACAGCAACCTCAAACTCCTGGGCTCAAGCGATCCTTCTGCCTCCTCCCAGTAGCTGGGACTACAGGCATGCGCCACCATGCCCGTTAATTTTTTTCTTATATATTAGTGCGCAATCAATTTCTTTCTATTTATAGTAGAGATGAGGTCTTGCTCTTGCTCAGGCTGGTTTCGAACTCCTGACTTAAGCAATCCACCTGCCTCGGCCTCCCGAGTGCTAGGATTACAGGCGTGAGCCACCGTGCCGGCCGATAATTATCTTTTGATACACAAATGTTTTTAATTTTGGTTAAGTCCAATTTGTCTATTTTTTATCTGTACCTTTGGTGTCATATCCAAGAATCATTTGTATTCAGTATTACCTGAAACTTGAAATCATTCCAATGTTGTGAAGCTTTGCCTATGCTTTCTTCTAAAGTTTTATAGTTTTAGGTTTTATATTTAGGCCTTTGAACCATTTTGAATTAATTTTTGTATATGGTGTTAGGTAAGTGTCAAATTTAATTCTTTTGCAAGTGGATATCAGTTTTCTCTGCACCAAGGTATAAAGACTTCTTATATCCTTTTAATTTGAAATTTCTGTAAGTATACTGCCTATTCACCAAAAAATGCCCAAAACAACAAACAAAAACTTCAACAAAACCATACATTCAAAATATTCTTTTTAAGAGTGTTTGCTACGGACATCCAAAGATGCTTTATAATATATTACTCATTTTAAATTGCAGAGCAATCTCTTACATATACTGTAGATGCAGTCTTAAAGTCAATGAAATTATAATTCGATAAAAAATTTAGCAGCTCCTTGAGCTATTTAAGACAGAGAAAATAGGATACTTATAAGACAACTGGCTTCTAAACTCTTAAAGAAAAGAATGGCTAGAACTTTATAATTATATTTATATATTTATTACAATTATACAATTATATTTAGAACACGCAAGTTAGCTGTTCATTTAGAAACAGATTTCCTTAGAAATCATTTTTTACTTAAGTCATGCTTGCTTAAACAATTTTTATAGTTCAGATTTTATTATACTTAGCACTTATGAACTTATTTGTAAGCATAACAGAATATTACCAATGCCTCCACCAGCATGAGGAGGAGCTCCAAAGCGGAAGGAATCAATGTAGGCTTAATTTTCTCCAAATCTACAAAAAGACCCAAACAAAACAAATTTATCAACTTATTTAGCTTAAAAAATTACAAAAGTAATTACTGTTCAATGAAGATAAAAAAAAAGACTTTCTAAAAAGTCTTTAATTTTGTAACAAAATTTAATTTTAATAACACAATGTGTTATTTTCAGAACATGTACTCTCCTAAATATACTTTAAGTTATTTACCAATTCCATGATGTAAAGCTCTCTCTGTCAGCAGCTGAGGATCATGTATTCTTTGAGCTCCTGACAATATTTTCTCTCCTCTCATGAACATATCATAAGAGTTGGACTGTTTCTGCAGGAAAAACAAAACAAAACACCCCCTCTTCCAGTGGCTATCAGCCTATTTCCATTACACATGTGTGAAAAAAGTCTCTGCGCATGAAGTTCAATTTTCCTACAATTAATGATGCAATTTTGTTTGTAAAGTAGAATTAAACTGCTGAGGGCTATTTAATAATTTCTTGTTTACATCAGATTTTGTGCTCTCCTTCTCTCATATCCTCCAATAACAACTCACTGCACACATCTAACTTTTAAGAAGTAGTGCTAATCTTTATTTCACTTTATCAACTAAAATGCTTTACAATTTTGGATTTCTTTTGGAACTTCAAAGTTATCAACAAGTGCTAGTCTTTTTTTTTGAGACAGAGTCACTTTGTTGCCAGGCTAGAGTAATTGCTGTGGCTCCCTAGCTCACAGTAACCTCAAACTCTTGGGCTCAAGCATCCTTCTGCCTCAGCCTCCCGAGTAGCTGGGACTACAGGCATGCGCCACCATGCCCGGCTAATTTTTTCTATATATTTTTAGTTGGTCAATTAATTTCTTTCTATTTTTAGTAGAGATGGGAGTCTCACACTTGCTCAGGTGGTTTCGAACTCCTGACCTTGAGCAATCCACCTGCCTCAGCCTCCCAGAGTGATAGGATTACAGGTGTGAGCCACTGTGCCCCACCAGGTGTTAGTCTTTTTTAATCAAAAACTTTTTTTTTTTTTTACTTTAAGAAAACCAGATTGAAAGTCAATTTACCAAAGCTTAACCTGTTCCCTTGTAGGTATTTGATAACAGCAGTTTTAACTTACTTCCCCTGTCTTTTAATAAACCAATGGTTCCCAAAGCATGATTCCTGACCAGTAGTTCAGTATTACCTAAAACTTGTTAGAAATGCAAATTACCAGGCCCCATTCCGAGCAACTAATCAAAAATTCTGGGGATGGGGCCCAGCAATGTGTGTTTTAAAAGCCCAGGTGATTCTGATGCACATTGAAGTTTAGAACCACTGCAATGGAAAAACTGTAAAAGGCCACAAGACATTATTTAGATTATTTATTCCCAGGACATAATGTGAACTCCTAGTTCAAGGATAATGATAAGATGATTTGCTAAATATGCAAATCTAATAGTACCATTTATCATTTACATAGTCTTTTTCCTCATAAATCTTCAGAAAAATGACTTTATTAATGTAGGTTTTAAGGATTAATTTGTATACTATTCAAATTTTAAATATTATTTCAACTGTAGTAACAGACACCAGTGGTAATACATATAATAGCATGTCTACCATAACTGCAAATTATTAATGAAAACCATTATTCCCATTTTACAATTTGACACAGTAACAATAGTTTTTCTTCTTCCCCAAACAGGTTATTTAAAACCAAATTACTTACAGGATTTCTTGGGTCAGGCATGGTATAGAAAGGTCTTACAGCCAATGGATATTTATCAAGAATATAAAAATCTGTATCTACTATAAAAGAATAAATGCAATTAAAAGAATAAAAGCAACTAAAAAGTAAAAGACTAACATTTTGGTAATTAACTTTTTGTACATAAATTTCTGCTCTTCAAAATTATTATGATTACATCATATATACAATGAGTATCCTGCTTTTTTCAAATAACATTTGTAACCTATAGCATTTTGCCATGGTGTCATAAATTCTTCCACTATCTAATTTTTTTTTTTTTTTTTTTTTTTTTGAGACAGAGTCTCGCTTTGTTGCCCAGGCTAGAGTGAGTGCCGTGGCGTCAGCCTAGCTCACAGCAACCTCAAACTCCTGGGCTCGAGTGATCCTTCTGCCTCAGCCTCCGGTAGCTGGGACTACAGGCATGCGCCACATGCCGGCTAATTTTTTTTTTTTATATATATATATCAGTTGGCCAATTAATTTCTTTCCTTTATAGTAGAGACGGGGTCTCGCTCTTGCTCAGGCTGGTTTTGAACTCCTGACCTTGAGCAATCCGCCCGCCTCGGCCTCCCAAGAGCTAGGATTACAGGCGTGAGCCACAGCGCCCGGCCACACTATCTAATTTTTTAATTTAAGCTATGATTGAATTATTTACTATTCAATCATGGTTTAAATATTCTATTTTTTTGGACACGTAACCTCTTTCTAATTTCTCCCTCAATGTAAATTATGCTACAATAAACATCTTTGATTTCTTTTTTTTCTTTGTTATTCTAGTTTATCTAGTTGTTCAGATGCTTTTTATAATTGTTTTGTTAAATTATCTAAAATCTTTTTGGGTTTTACAGAAACTATGTTAAGTCTACAAATTATTTTGGGAAAAACTGTTATCTTTTACAATATTCATCTTCAGAACACCTGGATTATTTTCCCAACAATTTAAATTTTTGTTTAGATATAAAATGAAGCTTGGTAGTTTTCTTTAAATGAAAACTACAATTGAAAGAAATAAATAACACTAAGTTGAAAATACGACATTTTTGTAGAGAATACGTACTATATGACTTAGATTTAATCAAAAAGAAATCAATTGAATTTCAACAGTTTTTGACTTTAAAATTTTTTGCTAAAACTGGAGAAGAGAGAGAATGCCAACAATTGACAAACAGAGATTAGCCTTGCTGACACAGCATTTTAAAGGTACAAGTACAGTATTGTATGATTTCAGAAATAACTGAGTTCTCTAGTCAGCTTAACAGTTTCACATGCAACCAGCAGGAGGAGCTCAAGGACTTTTCTCATTTTATTATACCATTCTCTTAAATTTTTAAAAAAGACCACAGTAAGTTTAGCTTTTATCCTCTTAGGAGTTTTAGTTTTAGAAAATGAAATAGGAAAGCAGCTTTCACATAAGAGGCAGAAAGGAAGCTCATTCACCTTCAAGTTTCATGAGATAGTACAGGTACACAGGGAAAACCATTTCTAAATAATTTTAAATAATTTTGAGGTCATTTCTGACAATCTGATATAGATACCACTTCTAGAGATACCTCAATACAAATTAGAACAAATATCAAATACTGAGTTAATAAAATCATTTGGGCAGATGGAATCCAAAGGTGCCCAGGAAAGAGAAAAATCATCTAGGCAGAGCCTGTCTAAATATTTTTCATTTTTCTAAGAATTTTTTTTAACATTGTTTCCCTTGGTTTTTATTTATTCTAGAATCACCATTTTGGAAAGATTAGTCTCCTCTGCAAATGTTCTTTTATATCGGGATACATTTCAGATTTAGAAAAAGAAATGAAGCATGTGCAAGAGTCCTACCTTTTCTTTTACCAAACGACCCAACAGTTTCTCATTTGGTGTACTGAAAAAGAAACATGAAACCAGGTGTTTGAAGATCAAACAGCAACTTAAAAAAGTTTAAGTTAGTAAGACACCACTTTTAGTTGAAATTCTTAAAGGATTAAATATTTGGCCAAAACACACAGTTGTCATTTCACTCCTTTTTAAACAGGCAAGTACTACTGAAAACCACTTATGAATGTATCTAGTACAGTGACTTAGTGCTCTGCTTAGTAGGTGCTGCTCTAATATTTAATTAAAGTCATAAACAGAATTTAGCAATGTTATTGATTCAGAAATATTGTGGATGAAATAATTTCCTACAATTACATATAATAAAAGCTCACTATACCAATATGGGCTAGTCTTGCCATTAAATAATCTCCCCTTTTTGGTATTCCTTATCAAAGGTTTATAAAATAAAAATCAGTATTTACAAGTTTTTAAAATCTAATAGTGTTTATATAAGCAAGTTAAATTTCTGTAACCAAGAGATAGCTACTTTAACTTCTATCTTATTTAAGAATAATTTCTAAAATATGAAAATATTGCCCAACTTTATAAAATTTATGGTTTGCCTTAATATTAATGTCATCTAGCAATGTAGGAGATGCTTAAAACCATATTTTTATGTTATACAAACAAAAATGAAGGGTTTTGAGTGAAATATGTTTTTTAAAAAACCCTAAAAAAGGATAACAACCATCCCCTTTCCCTTTTATAGACATATGTATTATGATAATCTAAATATTTTAATTAAGAACCCTTGAATAAAATACAGATAGTAATTTTCAATCTTTATTAAACTACATAATTTGTTTCAAAATTATAAGTTGTATGATCTGAATTTAGATAATATAATACTATATATCAAATAAAATAGTAAGTTTTATAACTTTGGAGATGTTAACAGTTTTATGCTCTAATCCTGCATGGGGATGGCTTTAGACTGCCATATACCCTCTCTGACACCAACTGATTTGGAAAGAGATATAACATATAAGATGAAAAAAAATCAGAGAAAACTCCCTATATTCTTTAAAGGGTTACAAATATGAGGCTGAAAAATAAAAACTGGTATACTTAAAATTAGTGAACCTTAGGCAATGTATTATATATACATATCTAATATATAATATATTAAACATAATATTTTTATTTCAGATCACACATCTAAAACAACATAATATATACTAAAGTTAAAATTTATGAGCTAGGTAAAGAAAATAATAATTTATTAATATTTTTTATTCTCTCATAACTTAACTCTAATTACTAAAGTTTTAAAAATCACAAAGACAAACCTCAGATCCTCTTCATCTCCCATTTCGACTCCAGCTTCCCTGAGCATAGCCAATGCTTCACAATACTCCAGTCTTAAAGTGGGCTCCAAAAATTTGAATGGTTCACATGGAAACTGTTTATTCACCGTCTGAATTTCAGTTTGAAACCTATTTGCACAATGATTTAGAATTAATAAAATGTGTAAGATAAATGTTTCCCCCACAAGAGGTCACTGTGGCAATATATAAAATAATTCCTCTAATCAGTATATGTACCAGAAAAGGCGTTATCAAATTATTAAGTTAAAGAATGAAATCTAAATACTTAAAGTATTTAACACCATTTTTTAATCTCGAGTTTCTGTAATCACAGTGTCATTAAAGTATTAAAAACTTTCTTTATAACTCGTATCAGCTAACACTATTTGAAATACAAAATGCCCATTTTATGAAGCATTAAAAAAAAATCTAGGTGGGGGACATGGCTCATGCCTCTAATCCCAGCACTCTGGGAGGCCACGGTAGGAGGACTGCTGCAGGCCAGGAGTTTGAGACCATCTGGGGTAACATTCCAAGACCCCATCTCTCCAAAAAATAAAAAAATATTAGCCAGGCATAGTGACACATGCCGGTAGTCCCAGCTACTTGGGAGACTGAGGCAGGAAGATCCTGAGTCTAGGAGTTTTGAGGTTGCAGTGAGCTATGATTATGCCATTGCACTCTAGGCAACAAAGTGAGACCCTGTCTCCAAAAAAAAAAAAAAAATAGTAATAAAACACTTATTTTTTAATACTTGAAAAATATTCATTATCACTGAGGAGGATCAAATTAATATTTACCTTATCTTCCCCTATTCCCATCATACTGTAAGTCTGTTTAGGGGAGTGTCAATTTCTTTCCCATTTTGATAATCCTATAAGTATAAGGCAGTGGTCCCCAATGTTTTTGGCACCAGGGATGGGTTTCACAGAAGACAATTTTTCCACTGATGGGGAAGGGGTTGGGGGGAGAGGCGGAGCTCAGGCCGTGATGCAAGCAATGGGGAGCAGCTGCAAATACAGATGAAGCTTCACTCCTTGGCCTACTGCTCACCCCTGATTGCTTCTTTGTCGCTAGTCTCATGTCTAAATTTAAAGCATAAGGCCTACTCTATAAATAGTAGGCATAAGACAATGTTTACTGCACTGAACTGAATATGTAAAATGATATTTTATTGAGATTAAAAAAGTATATTTTTGTTAAACTATGGATGAAATGATAGCTGAGATCTGCTTCAAAATAATAGGTAGTGGAGGAAATGGATAAAAAATACTGGACATGCTGGGCACAGTGGCTCACACCTGTAACCCTAGCACTCTGGGAGGCCAAGAAGGAAAGATCACTTGATGTCAGGAGTTCAAGACCAGCCTGAGCAAGAGTAAGAACCCATCTCTACCAAAAATAGAAAAATTTAGCTGGGGGTAGTGGTGCCCCGCCTGTCATCCCAGATACTCAGGAGGCTGAGGAAGATGGATTGCTTGAGCCTGGGAATCTGAGGTTGCAGTGAGCTATGATCATGCCACTATACTCTAGTGGGGCAAGAGAGCAAGACTGTCTCAAAAAAAGAAAAGGAAAAGGAAAAGGAAAAGGAAAAGGAAAAGGAAAAGGAAAAGGAAAAGGAAAGGAAAGGGCCATGGGTTGGCAATGGTTGAAACTGAAACTGGGTGATGAGTACATGGTGGCTCATTAGGGTAGTGTCCATACTTTTGTATGTTTTTGAAATTTTCCATAATTAATAGACTTTTAAAAAGTATGTTTATATTCTATATATAGAATTCTCTATCTAGAAATTAAAACACTATCACTTCTTTTTTTCTTTGGAGACAGGGTCTCTCTCTGTCACCCTGGGTAGAGTACAGTGGCATCATCTTTGCTCACTACAACCTCAAACTCCTAGGCTCAAGTGATACTTCTGCCTCAGCCTCCCAAGTATATCACTTCTTGATTGGTCTTAAAGACTTTCATGGGAACAATAAAGCTTAGCCATTGATTTATTCAAATCTTGGTATAAGAAGGGTTAAGAAAACCCCAATAATTAATTTTTCTCCAATAAATGATTTTTAAATAGCCTTGCTTTGGATATCAATTCCCATTCATGTCTATCAATGATAGTACAAAAATATGACTATCATTTTAAAATTCACTTGTATATAATTCTTCTATGAGAAATACTTTTTCCCATTTTTTATTTGTACGTATTTATGGAATACAAGTACAATTTTGCCACATTGATATACTGCATTGTAGTGAATCAGGGCCTTCAGTGCATCCATCACTGAAGCAATGCACACTGTACTCAACAAGTGACCTCCGAACACCCAGCCCCTGTGAGAAATAAATACTAATGATAAACACGAGAGGAACATGACATAAGCCAGGTAACTCAATAACAAGCGACACAGATCACAGAAACTTAAAATTCCTAACTGACTTACATTCTATAATATAGAAAGCAAGCTTTTACTTTCAAATTGCTACCTTAGGTCTACTGAAAAAGTTCGGCAAGTAATGGTGTCTGACTCTGATTTGTAAGGAAAAATTTGATTAATCCCAAGGGGCCTGAATTCATGCTGATCTGTTGCTACAAAAATCAAAGTAGAAATTTCAAACTCCAATATTAAATAGAGACGCTATCAATATCTAAAATAAGTGGGTTTCAAAAACTTTATTGAATTATAAATGTGAAAAGAAAATGAGAAAAGCTATGTTCCTTCATCATAGTCCCAAAGTATATTTAGTTTTATAAAGAAACATTAGTAGTTGTTCCATGAACTATTTGAATGAAAGGTGCTTAAAATAAACTGTATCTAATGTTTCAGAGGACAAAGGTTAAAAAAAAAAAGGCAACATGCAATTAACTAGTCATCAAAGGCACAAAGCAATGAAAAGAATGCCTGGAAAATACTGGTGCTTATGCTACAATATTTTACATAGGATCAGTGATTAATTCCTATATTCTTAAATTTACTTATTAGCCTTGCACTCGAATAAATAAAAGTTGTATTTTTGAACTCATTTAAAATATCAATGAAACATACCAACAATGAATAGTTAAACCAGCGGTCTTAAAATAAAAAATTTAAATATGGTCCTTCATCAGTATTAAAATGCTAAAGTTTATCATACCCTACCTAATACTTCAAATATAGTCATAAGTACAGAGAAAGGGGGGGGGGAAAGACCCCTAAAGTGGATAATTCAATTTTTGAACATCTAGTATAAGTCTACTATTTCTATAAATGTTGTTGATTCACCAGACCCAAATAGATAAAGTCCTTTCAGTTCACCAGTTTCTAATCTTTACTGAGCACTCAATGTAAATACAATCTGATTTATAAATTAATCTTCTTTGACACAGATTCAGCCTCAATCAGTTCTAATGGTGATCAGAAACCTCCAGAGGTAATTATCTTGGCTTTAGATAACTTTTGTCCATTTCTTTGGTCAAAATAAGCAAGATCTTATTTTTAGGTCTTGCTTGTTACATTAAAAAAATAGTTATCCTATTTAGGATAGCTATCCTAAATAGTTATCCTATAGTTTAGATGGGTGTTTAGTAAAATCCCTGACCTCAACCCACTAATTTACTGAGAACAGCTGACTTAGGTGAAGAAGCTATCTTACTAATCTTGTTACAGGAATTTCAATTACAGATTCAGTAAAGATTAGAAATGAGTAGACTGCAGGGATTTTTTACCTTTGAGGTGAGTAATAATACTATTTCAACTTAAAAGTTGAGGAAACTGAGGCACAGAGTTAAATAACCTGCCCACAAAGATAAGCAGTGGAATTGGGATTTGAACTTAGGCTATCTGGATGTGGCTGAATCAAAGTTATTAACCACTACCTCATACTACTGCCCGGAAAATAAACTGCTATAAAAGTAACACATGCTCTATTTCTTCAGACATTCAGAATGTCAGTATAAAGGAAAAAACAAACATAATTGAGCTGTTCACAATCTGGTAACTTATCACCAAAAAGAGGCTAACTAGTGGAGGCCCTCTGACTTGGATCCAGATGCACTACTTTGAATGTAGATTTTTCTAACTAATGAAATCTGCATCTATATATATTTATATATATAAATGCCCAACAGAAACTTAGCTCGCATGTTTCAATGAAAGCATTTTTTTTTTAAAGAATCCAAACTGATTTTATATCCCATCCAGGGATATAAAATATTTTTTACCTTTCTTGAAGTCCTTTGAATATCTGTACCAAAGTGTCAGCAATTTCTTCTACGACTTCATGGTAATGGTAATTAAAAGCCATTTCAATATCCAAACCAACAAATTCCGTTAGATGTCTGTGGGTATTAGAGTCTTCAGCTCTGAATACTATGAAGTTAATAAAAGAAACAAACTGGAAATAGTATTTAAATTTTGGATAAATGGGGATTTAAATACAAAATTCCATTTAGTAGTACTCCAATAGTATTATTTTTATATCATTACAGGGCTAGGAAGACCTTTGATAAGCCATCTGTTTCAGCATTCTCTTGGACAGTAAATTCATTACAAACTCCTACAGGTCATGTAGTAAAAGCTGTAGCAAATGTAAATAAATAAATAAGGCTCATGAGAACCCTGAGGGAATGCAAGATCCTGACATACCTTCTCAATAATTAAAAATAGATTCCATTATGACTAATATAGAGAGTTCTCAGTTTTATTAAACCCTGACTCAAGCTAAACAAAGCTCTGTACAAATGAAGCAACGTTATACATGTTCTTGCTATTACCTCAGTCCAGCTCTTAATATCCTTAATGCATTTTCTTCCTTTCCAGTCTTTCTTGACTCTAGCTCAGCTCATCTTTCACATCACTGCCAGATTAATATTCCTATAACACATTTTTGCTCAGTAACTTACAATGGTTCCCAAATGACTACTATAGTAAGACATAAAATGACAAAAAGTCTAAAACCTTTATATTTTTACAATTCTAACCTATATTTCCTATTTCCTCTTAATACTAACTGATCTTATTTTTGTTTTCTCCTGTAGTCCATGCTCTTTACTTACCCTGCTTCCTCTGCCTAGAATGCATTTTTGTTGTCTATATATACTACTCTGTCCTTAAAGCACATTTCAGTTTGAATTTTCTTTTATGATGACTCTAATCAACTCCATTTTATCCCTCTTTTTACACTTATAGTACCTGAGAGCTTGTGAGAACTGCAGAATCTCAGGCCTCACCCCAGATCTATTCATCAGAATCTACATTTTAACAGATCCCCAGGTGATTTGTGTGCACATTAACATTTTAGAAGTACTGAGTCTTCTTTTACATACATGATACCTAGCTCAAGGCTATATATGTAGCAGGTGTTCAACAAATAACTGATTAATAAATTCAGAAAATTAAGACTCAATGATCTTGCCAGTTTCACTATTTAGCAAGTATTTAATTTTCTTAGGTTATCAAAAAACATATAAAATAACTTGGTTAAGTTTTAAGGAATGAAGTAAAACTGGCTTTTTGCTTATAATTAGCTTCATAAAAGAATCTGACATGTGATTATGTGCTTGCACTTGACTTTTAGCCAATATACCTTTAAAACCACATTAATATAATTCATTAAATATAAGACACTTATTAGTAATTTCTAATGGACTTTACCATATCCCCAATGGTAAGGACAGTACAAACAATAACAGTGAAACAGAACAGCTCTGGAAGAAAATTGGTAGCAAAGCAGACAGAGGTATATTGTAAATGTACAATAGTAAAGAGTTATAAAGGATGACAAAATATATTATTTCAAAGACTGCAACTAACTGTTCTTTAGTGTTGATGGAAAATTGAAAGGATAGTCCAAATGGGAGCTAATTCTGTTCTAATTGCACTTGGTATAGAAATAATATACTTAGGTAATTTCAAATGTTGTATATTTTCCAGATACACATTTTTAAAATGAGATATGCCCAAGATAATCTTCTTCAGCATTCTCTCTCTTCTGTTAGGAATACTTAATACTTATGATTCTATTAATATGAATGATGCTTAACTGTTTAAAGAACTATTGAGCATACTATTTTTTTTCAGAAAATGCCTATCCAAACACACTGTCATTTCTACTTAAAAGTCTAGTGTTTGAGTGCTCAGTAGACAAAAGAATTTAACCTTTCAAAATACCTGTACATTATAAATGTAAAATGTGTTTCTAAAGCCATAACTACTGTACAATTAATGAAATTGGAAAAAAACATAACTGCCAAAATCTTACCTGGTCCAATACAGAAAACCTTCTCAAAATCAGCACAAATACACATCTGCTTATACAGTTGTGGGGACTGAGCCAGATATGCATTATTTTTAAAATATGACACAGTAAATACGTTGGCTCCTCCTTCACTGGCAGCTGAAATGTAACCATTTATAAATTATAATCAATTGTAAGCTTATCGATGTAAACTTTCAGTTAACAACAGTAGTTCATTCTAAAGAAAGAAAAACAGGAAAATCAAAAACTGCAGCTAAATTATAGTCTACACATGTCCTCTCATATGTGATCCTAAATAGTTTATATTTAAGCCAGATTTACTTCTTTGGATATACCTTTATTTCACTTCTTTGGATATACATTCTGTCTTTCTGCACCAATTTCAAATCTATTAAAGCTACTTTGGAGTTGTAAAATTTAAAAAAAAAAAGAAATTCTTAATCTTTTTATAATTATTAAGAATATGATGTTCCATTTTTTTTAACTAAATGCTATTCATAATACACTTTTTAGTGTTACTTAAACAACTCTGAAAGGGCAAAATGATAAAGACAAGATTCTCATATAAGAATGAGGATTTGGCTGGGCACAGTGGCTCACACCTGTAATCCCAGCACTCTGGGAGGCCAAGGCAGAGAATCGCTTGAGGTCAGCAGTTTGAGACTAGTGAGACCCTGTCTCTACAGAAAATAGAAAAATTAGCTGGGCATCACAGTGGGCACCTATATACTCCCAGCTAGTTGGGAGGTTGAGGCAGGAAGATCACCTGAGCCCAGGAGTGGAGTTTGAGGTTGCAGCAAGCTATGATCACCATATTGCCCTCATGCCCAGGCAACAAAATGTGACCCTGTCTCAAAAAGAAAAACAGAAAACAAAAATGATGGAGTATTAATGAGATTTTTCCCATCAGTAGTATTTAGTGATTTTATAATGCAGTTTGTACAAAAGAAAATTGCAATACCAATTTCAAAAGAAACCTATATAATGAAAGTGCTTCCTGATTTAATTTACATAGCAAGAATCTTGCTTCATGTGTTATTGCTTCATTTTATAATCATTATCACAAAATGATTCCCGGAATAAGAAGATGTAGTATTACTGATGCTGGTGATATGTGACTGTTGTTACACAGCATGGTCTTCAAAATAAGCAGTCTAATGGCAATAAACCTTAAAGCACACATGGGATTCTCAGATTTAAAAAAATTAATTTAAGCAACTTTGGGGAAAGTAAATTTATTTTTTAAAATTAAGGAAAACATTTTGAAGCATACCTGAAATAATTTTAGGAGTTTGGATTTCCACAAAACCTTTGTTAATTAAAGTTTCTCGGAAGAGATGGCAGATGCCAGACTGGAGACGGAAGACTGCTTGACTAGTTGATGTCTATAAAACAATAATAAAACCTAATTAAATCAACACATTTAATTACTAAGCACTCACATTTCCTGAGCTTTCACTGTGTGTGCTAGGAACTGTGAAAACCTTAAAGTGAATATAATTATTCTTGCTCTCAACATTTTAAAATCCTAAATAGTTGGGGAGAAGACAAAAGCACATGAATCAACATCATATAATACAAGGCAGAAAGGCATGCTGAAATGTAATGACTATATATGATCACATAAAGCTATTTTCACAAGAAATGCTTATTGAGATGTTTTAATCTGTAGGAATTCCACAAAAGAAAAATATTTCTTAATAAAGAAACACATTTCTTCTGAATTCTTAGCATTTTTTTGTTTTTTTAAAGGCAGCCATTAAGTGAGATGTATTAATGTTTGTTCAGCACATAATGCTCCCTTAAAGAAAGTAATATTTTAACATTTGATAACAAATGAATAAAGCCACCATGTACTTTTATCTTAATCATTACAATACTACATTAATTGCAGATAGTCATGTGTTTGCTACAATTATATTAAGAAATTAAGGGGAAAAAACAATAAAATAGGCATCCCATGATACCAATTTCCCAGAATGGAAATCAGTGCCAGAATGCAATTAATAGCAGTATTTTAACTGTCCACTATGGTCACCTTTTCTTTCTACTTTCTCTCCCTTTCCTTCCTATTTCTCTGGTTCTCCTATTTTATTAGGTTATTAAGTATGAAATATCTGATTTAAGTACTAAGTTTAGCAGTTGATATCTCAGACATTTCACTTTGACACTTCTTTCATTTTTATTGTGATGGGACATCCTCATTCTTTCAAACACATGGTTTGGTTTGTGATTATCTTTCAAATTTTTTTTGGAGCAATTTTTGGGAAGCCATGGATAAGTAAAAAATTCGTGTTATTTTCGAATATGAGTTTCATCCTGGAATCAATGCAGTGTATTGGTTCGAAATATCAATTTTGGTATTTAGCTCGAAATACCAAGTGTTTGGGAAGGATATGGCTAATGAATGCACAGTACAGTTCGAGAAGTTCTGTTCTGATGATTTTACTCTTGAAAATAAACCACATCAGCGACCTGAGACTAAGGTGGATAATGATGAGCTGAAGCTGTAGTGGAAGCGAATCTATCTCAACCTACATGTAAATTAGCAGCAAGAAATGAAGTTACTATTCCAACAATATTGGACCATTTAAAACAAATCAGCAAGGTAAAGAAGCTAGGTATCTGGATACTGCATGAATTAAATGAATGTCAGAAGAGAAATCGTCTGAAAGCTTGCCCTTTTTTGCTAACCATTTCTACACCACATTGTTACCTGTGACGAAAAATGGATTCTGACAATCACAAGCATTTGGCACAACAGTTGGACAAAGATGAAGTGTCAAAACATAGTCCAAAACCGAATATTCATCCAAAAAAGCTAATGGTGTCTGTTGGGCAGTCCAGCGATTATATTATCCATTATAGCTTCATGAAACCTAGTCAACTGATTACAGCAGACGTCTACTGCAACCAATCGGATGAAATGATGAGGATCCTTATGATGAAGCAGCTGAGATTGGTCTAGAGAGACAGGCTAATCCTCTTGTAAGACAACACTCAACCACCTGTCAAACAAAACAATGCTGCTCCAACTACAGAGGCTGGACTTGGAAACTCTGTCATTCACTATGTTCACTAGACTTTGCACCAACTGACTACCACTTCTTCCAGGCTTTGGACCACTTCTTGCAAGGAAAAATATTCAACTCTCAACAAGCTGTGGAAAACGCCTTTTGCGATTTCATCACCACTCACTCTCCAGCCTTCTTTGCCGCTGGCATAAACAAGCTACTGTGAAGATGGCAAAACTGTGTTGATAGTTTAGGTCCCTACTTTGATTAATTGTACTGCTTCTTGTTTCAGATATAATAAACTAAACTTCTGGTAAGAAATTGAACATTTCATATTTAATGACTTAAATACTTTCTGGTCATTAAATGAACTTTCTGGTCACCAGAAAGCTGATGGTGACTAGAAAGCTCTAGAGGTAATATCTCTGCTTTATACTAATTTTTGTCCATTTCCCTAGTCAAAATAAGCAAGACCTTACCTTACCTTTAGGTCTTATTACATTAAAAAAACAGTTATCCTATGGCTAGATGAGTGTTTAGTAAAACAGTAGCACCCTATGAAAACATGATGGGATGGCTATTCTATGTTTCTTTCACTGTGAAGAATGCTATTTAAATAACCCTGAATTTCAGCAGATCAGGGCTGAAAAAATTCATGTAAACTGGGTCATATTTAAGTAACATTATTTTATAATTCACAAAGATACAAATCAATTTCTCGTAAAACAATGAAGATAAGTTAAAAGATCTTTGTAATTTGTTTACTTATTCATTTTTTTTTTTTTTTTTTTGAGACAGAGTCTCGCTTTGTTGCCCAGGCTAGAGTGAGTGCCGTGGCGTCAGCCTAGCTCACAGCAACCTCAAACTCCTGGGCTCGAGCGATCCTTCTGCCTCAGCCTCCCGGGTAGCTGGGACTACAGGCATGCGCCACCATGCCCGGCTAATTTTATATATATATATATATCAGTTGGCCAATTAATTTCTTTCTTTATAGTAGAGACGGGGTCTCGCTCTTGCTCAGGCTGGTTTTGAACTCCTGACCTTGAGCAATCCGCCCGCCTCGGCCTCCCAAGAGCTAGGATTACAGGCGTGAGCCACAGCGCCCGGCCTACTTATTCATTTTTAAGATGTCTACAGTTAAACCAGAGAGAAAGACTTGTGGCTTTTTATATTATGAAGTTTAGTGAAACATTCAGTTCATCCAATCAAAACAAATCGCATAATCTTCTGCTTTCAAAAACCTACTTCAAGTTACTGACACACATACAGAGTTGTATTTCACTACAGTAAAATATATTCTATTAGAGGGTCACTTACGGCTTATAAACTCAGGTTATAAAGATGCTATTGTGAAGCTGGAAAAGGATCAAGAGAGACAGTAGAAAAGGGGGTACAAAGGCATTTCTAAAATAATATTGGCATTTCTAAAATGATAATTGGATTGAATTCTAAAAGGAACTATTATTTAAAAAATCAGGTTGATGTGGAATTTCTAATCAAGCAAAAGTAATCTTTGTGAGAAAGAATCTGAATTGTCTGCAGTTTCTACCATATTACCGTCATGAGGGGATTTCAGCAGTGTTCAGATTAACTCTGCCAAGGACATTCCAAACGTATTCTAACGTTGGCTGATCAAGTATGTATGTGGTATGGATGGACCCTGTGATAAACATAGTAGTGCTCAGCATGCCTAAAAAATTTTTCTGATTGAAGTGTTGGTGCTGAGGCAACAGTAATAACATCCCTGAGATCACCTCCCTTTGACTATTTCAGACTATCCAGATCTACTTTCATAGAACTCCTATAGCTGTGGTGATCATACACCTGTCATTTTCATGGTAGACCCAAGTCCCCAATATTCTATCCACTGCTGACACAAGCCGGCATTTCTTAAACTTGTCTTCTGCCTTCTATTATAATTTCTGTTATACAGGGTACCACTTTTAGTATTATTTACTACTTTTCTTTAAATCACATTTTAAAACTTGGCTCATCCTAAGCAATAATATCCATGAAAACACGGATTTTATTTGCTGGTTACATTACATGCTATTAAAATAAAACGTGTAGAATGAGAATAAAAATTTTAACAAAATTTAAAAATGCTCACCTGTGTAACACCTAGAAATCACTGTGTACCTCCAGTGGTAAGGGTACTATACTGGGAAAAACACTACAAAGCCACTGAAATGTCATATAAATTTTAATATATTGGCATCAAAGCTATACTGCCAAGATAATCTCTCATACTGTAAGAGCACAAAAATTATTTCAGGAGTGTAGATTTTGATTTTTAGTTTGGAAAAAATTTATTGAAAGTAATGAGCTAGGCAATCAGTTAGAAGATAGGCACTTAATTATAAATTATCCAATTGTTCTTCAGTTGTTTCTGGATTTTATGGCTGTGTTATTAGACACTTTCTGAGAGAGATGGCAATTAGGCTGTTTTTAATCAATTAGTGGAGGCTGCATGGAGTGTTGTGAGGCTACTCTAAGCTCATCAGGAATAGTATGTATGTAGTATGTTGTGATGTAGATGGAGAATCACCTCATGTACCTGCCTTGATGTAAGGGGTAAATAGTCTGTCTAAGAGAAAAGAATGGTGGAGGAAAGGATGGATAAAGACAAAGATGACCAATTGCAAAGCAAAAGAAATACATAATTTATAAGAAGAAAACACAACCATAACAGCAGTACTGTCCATTCATTAACCCACAGGGTCAATGTAGAGTTCATTACTGAGCAATGTCGTACATATGTTCAGATATCTAGTTTCTTAACCCCCTTACTCCAAAACATACCTGAACATAAAGAAAGGAATATGTTATGGAAGTACACAGTATGGGCTATTTTGTTAGTGTGGTCTCAGAGGTAGCACAGAGGGTAATGTGGTATACTGGTAAAGGAAGGGAACTTTAGCCATTGGGTCTCTTAAGGGTTAGGTTGCCTGTGAATCCTAGGTTGCCTTATTCCCTTGGAATTCCCTTATTCCCATGTCAACCAGAGTGGCAAAAAAGAACTAACATGATACACCTTCAAAAATGGCTCAGTTCATCTAGACATGGTGGCTCATGCCTGTAATCCCAGCACTTTGGGAGGCGGAGGGCTTGCTTGAGGCTGGGGGTATGAGACCAGTCTAGGCAACATAGTAAGACATGGTCTCTACAAAAAAATTTTAAAATTAGCTGGGTGTGGTGGCGTATGCCTGTAGTCCCATCTACTCAGGAGGCTGAGGCAGGAGGATCACTTGAGCCTGTGAGTTGGAAGTTGCAGTGAGCTGTGATCACTCCACTGCAATCCAGCGTGTGCAACAGAGTAAGACCTTATCTAAAAAAAAAGGCTCAACCCGAGAGAGAACAGACTTATACTAAGATGACCTCACACTAATAGTCTTATCTCCCCTCAAAATGATGAGTTTCTTTGAAGGTAATCAATATATACTATTTTGTAGATTAAAGAGCTTTAGTGTGCGTGGGGGGGCAGTTAGAAAAAGAAATAGGCTGTAGTTTTGAACCAACTAAATACGTTCATTTGTGAGAGAAGTACTTCTTTTTTAAAAAATTTTTTACCTTGCTTTTTTTGGGAAAAGTACTTAAAGAATGATTCCCAGAGGAAGACCAAACAACTATTACTTTGACAACTTTCACCTGTACCTAAGAGTGAGGAGGCATAAAGAGAATAATTCTGATCTAAACGGAATGGAATTCCCCTAACAGGTTCCCCAGGAAACCCTCCTAAAAACCTGCTGCTCTCTAAGAATGAAGCTAATTTGCTACAGCAATCCAGAATATGAGATAGGTGAATGCTGTGTATAAAAAGGGTGCCAGACAAAGATATTTAATTTAGACTTTTCCAGGAATGAAAATTGCCTTAACATTCTTGGGAGCTGGGAAATAGAGTATTTTTAATTAGGTCACCTGCCTGTAAAGTTCATACAAAAACCAATGCATTATATGAGAGAAAAGTTAGGTTACACTAAAACCAATATAAGGCTATATATTGGAATGTTCATATTATAGAAGGAGAATAACGATTTTGCCTTTTCAACTTCTCCAACTCTTGACTTTGCTCAGAGACTATAATAAAAGAGCTGGTTTGAGGTTAAATTAGATAGTAGTTTAGACATAAACTAAGGAACTTAAAGATTTAAAGTTACTAATGTACACAATGTTACCAAAAGGTAAAGACATATTAACAGTTAAAAAATGTGAACACTTGCTTGGGCTACACAAATAATATGAAAGAAACAAATGAATGATGCTCTTGAGTGGTGCAGGGCACCTAGCCCCATATAACATCCTAGCTCATGAGCCAGATTCTCCTCCAACTGTTTTAGAAAAGCTATTCATATTTTAATGTGAAAACTCCCATTTTTCAATGGTGGCAATAAATTTAAATTAAAAAACAAACAAACCCCAAACCAAAAACTCTTCAGGCCAAATTCTAGAGGCACAAACAAGTAATAACTTGTGTGAACAAACAGAATGGGCAAATATAGAATGATGTCTAACTGCTGTGGCCAACATATATGAAAAACTTGAGGTTTCTAGGTAGTATCAAGAGGACTTTTGATTACTGCTCACTTTTCCTATACAAATTAAAATGTAAAAGGTAAAGGCAGATAAAAGCAAATAATCAGGAGTAACAAATGAGTATATGATAAGGGCAGACACACGACTGCAGATAGAGTTGGAAAGAACTCCTAAGGTGACAAAGAATTTGAGCTTTAGGTAGAATATTTAAGTAAAGGAGGAAGATGTGGTCAAAATATTAAGAAAGAAAGATGACATTGGTTTTGCTACAATGTCATAATAATGAAACCACTGAACACTCTTTCACTTGCAACCAAACCAGAAAGAGAAACAGAAGACATATGAGATTATTGTATAAACCACCAAGGCAAATTGCTTCTATATTATTATTAATTCTACGTTTAGATCAAATTCAAAGGATTGAGGAATTAATTACTCATTTCCACCTGGTTGTTCTCAAATGTGCATATAAATTTTTTCACAATTCTGTAGTGATGTTAATAGCTATGTTTCTACTGGATGACTAACTTGTCTAAAACAGGTATCACCTGGAAGCAAGCCCATTTATTGGCTTCAAGTTTATTTGTCATTTAAACACAAAGCAAGTCCATATCCCGACAATATCAACTGTTCTTGTTGCTTGTAGTTCTTTTTAGGGGAGAGTTAGTCAGAAAGGTAAATTGTTTCTTGTATGATCATACTTACATATAGGCAAATGCCAATTAGCTTTATAAGCCTGAGACAGGTATGGTATCCCCACCCATCTTGACTTCAGCATAATTACATCACTTAATAAATCAATGACGCGTACCCTAAGATCAATGACTCTGTTGTCTAATCTTGTATCCTGGTTAACGGTAGCTCTTCCTTCCTAAGAAAAAGGACAAAAAAACACATAAACTTTTTGAAGAATGCAAAAAACACTTTTAGAAATCATGTTTACCTTTAAGTGATTATGGGTATATGTTAATATTATGCCCCCAAATTAGAGATCCAAAATAATGGTAAAAACAATAAGCAGGGCAAGAGAAATAAAGAGATGGAAAGAAGAGAAAGAATGAACAGATGTTACTGCTTTCTTTCCCTCTTCCACCTCCAAAAGCCATGCCTTATTACTGGGATGTCAGAAGAATTAACCATCTATATCTTTACTGATTCCTGGATTTAACCTGCCAGCCCCAGGTTGAATTAACAGACAAAAGCTGACACAGAGTAGTGGTTCTCAGAATGTGGTCTGGGGAGCAATGAAGATCCCTGAGACTTTTGAGGAGTCCATGAAGTCAAACCTATTTTTTCATGATAATATTTTTTAATACTTTTTCTCCCTTATTCTTCATGAGTGTACTGAGGAGTTTTCTAAAGGCTATCTGGTAGATATACTATCACAATAGAATGAATGCAGAGTCGATATGAGAATTTATTAATAGTTGTCATTTACTAAGCCAGACATTACAAAGATATGTAATTATATAATACAATGTCACTCTTGACACTAAATTGTTTTTTGTTTTGGAAAATGGTGATTTTTCATAAAATATATTATTTATTGTTATTTTTATTATTTATATAAGAATATTGCATATGTAAACATATATTTATAAATGTAATAAATTCGTATTTAAAAATTTTCCTGGTTTAACTTCTAATTCTATAAATATTTATAGATATATCAACAAAAACAAAAATTGCTTAAAAGCAATTATTTTTAAGAATGTAAAAGGGATCTTGAGACCAAAGTTTGAGAACTGCTGATGTAATTGTAAATTTAAATAAAAATAGAGCTCAAATCAATTCACAGATATCCTTAGGATAAAAGCAGGGCATCAGGTTTTCAATGTTTTACAAACTAAATACATAGAGGAAGCATAATATTTCATAAGTATAATTTTTACCTCTTCTCCTTCTGCCTCAGGCCGGATGGCATCATCCAGCTGCAGGGGCAGGCGAGGTTCAGCCAAACTGATCACATAAATCTGAAAGTGAGAGATTGCCAAAAATAGCTAGAAGCACACAAAACTTTTTATCTTTTGCTGAAAAAAAAAACAATCTACATTTGACTTAAAAATGAAGCAACATTTGCATACATCTTTAACTGAAACTATTTGCTGAAATCAAACAAGATGATATACGTTTTTCACCTAAAAAATGAGGATAATATTTTTTGCCTACTTCTATGGGTTGCTGGAACAACCCAATAAGATAACACATATACAAATACTCTTTAAACTTTAAGGTGGCTACCAATGTAATAAGTAAAGGCTAGAGTGGAGGACACTGGGTTTAAGGCCTAGCTTTGTCATATAAAGCTGTTTTTAGGCAAATCAATCTCAGAGTTTCAATTAAAATGAGGTCTACTGTAAGAATCAAATAGAGTAATGAATGTGAGAACACTTTACTCTTGTGAAGGGGCCATTAACATATGACTTGCTATTTTTGTTAACAGCATTTGGCCAGTACCATGACTAGGACCAGTCGAGCTCTGCTACACTTTTCTCATTCTTTCTTTTCCCAAGGATCCCTTCATTGCCCTTTCTCATCAAACATGTTACATTTCCTGCTGCTCTTCTGGTTGGGAGTTGCCCTAGAGGATGTTCCTTTATGTTATTAAACTCCCTCAGTATTCACTCACACTAATTTCACATTTTAGTGGTAAAAAACAATTAGGAGGCCGGGCGCGGTGGCTCACGCCTGTAATCCTAGCACTTTGGGAGGCCGAGATGGGTGGATTGCTCAAGGTCAGGAGTTCGAAACCGGCCCGAGCGAGACCCCGTCTCTACCAAAAATAGAAAGAAATTAATTGGCCAACTAAAAATATATATATACAAAAAATTAGCCAGACATGGTGGCGCATGCCTGTAGTCCCAGCTACTCGGGAGGCTGAGGCAGTAGAATTGCTGAGCCCAGGAGTTTGAGGTTGCTGTGAGCTAGGCTGACGCCACGGCACTCACTCTAGCCTGGGCAACAAAGTGAGACTCTGTCTCAAAAAAACAAAAACAAAAACAAAAAAAAACCAATTAGGTCATAAAGACTGAACTAGAGTTTTTTGGCTTAAAAAATATGTTAGTGTATTAGTTATCCCTAACTATGCCTGGAAAACCTGCCAAAGCACTAAAAGGAAATATATCTTATTTATTCAGGAAAGGGAATTATATTCTTCCAGGTGGCAGACTGCATTTAGCATGTATTTCAAGAAAGAGTGTAGAAGGATAGTCCAGTTTTTCTCATAATAAAATAGAAATATTTGTCACCACTCCCTATACCCAAGTGGTGGGGTTCCCTTTGATGAGTTAACAGAAACTTGATCTCCAATCCAAATTGAAGAACTGAAGCTTACACCTCCTACTTTTATACCTAGTGGAAATTCATTTTCTCCTTTGTTAGGTTGTGACTACTACCAGAACTTCACATAGTGCTTGGCATAAAGTATATATAATCAGTAAGTCCTGGCTGAATAAATAAATAAATGATAAGGGAAAGTCATTACTTATGAAAGATTCTATTTCGAATATAATACTTTATGCTTTGTGAAGTACTTTATAATTATTCTTATAAAGGCAAAATTTGTCTATAAGCTTCTTTGGCTTAAAATTTATTATTAACATTTATTAAGGTTGTACTGTATACTAGGTAATAAGATAGTAAAGTACATTCAGTGCTGTAGTCATTGAAATTTTTTTTTTATTAAAGTAAAAGATATGGGGGAGGGATTACCTTTCTTGGTCAGCCTAAATGGATTTATTCATTTATCTCTATTCTTACCCTTTGGTTAGTCTGCTGTAGATTTCCTGGTGGGGTTGGTTCAAAATGAGACTTACAGAAAGAGAAGGGATAATCTGTCATTAGGTTAGTAAAAAAATACAACATTTTCTTTTTTTTTTGAGACAGAGTCTTGCTCTTCCACTTCAGGTAGAGTGCAGGGGCATGATCGTAGCTTACTACAACCTCAAACTCCTGGGCTCAAGTGATCCTCTTGCCTCAGCCTCCTGAATAGATGGGACTACAGGCACATGCCACCATGCCTGGTTAACTGTTTTTAATTCTTTTTAGAGACGGGTTCTTACTCTGTTACCCAGGCTGGTCTTAAACTTCTGGCCTCAAGCGATCTTCCTGCCTCAGCCTCCCAAAGTGCTGGGATTACAGATGTGAGCCACAGTCTTCAGCTAGGGTTATTTTAGTAGTTCCAAATATGTGTGAATTCACTCACAGTATTTCAAGTCAGTCATAATGAGCACTTCTAATTTCTATGTCTGAGAGAATAAAAGATGAGGGATAAGTCTTATAAAAAAAAGTTACTGTTGGAATATAAGACCAATATGGTATTGTCTCTTGATTTCTCTATGCTGTAAAAATATCAAATGTAATGATTATAATGAGATATATGATTAAGAATTAGTATAATTAATCATCCTCTGAAAGTACATATTCAGAAGAAAATTCAAAGAAATATAGGTTTGCTATTATTAGCGAATAAAACTTTTCAGATGTGTTTTATACTTTTCTCTATGTGACTATGGTAGCCTGCAAAAATGGCTGCAATACTTCCTCCTGCTCCTGTATGTATGTTCCTGTGCAAGGATGTTGCCTCTCCTCCCATGAAGAGGTGGAATCTATTTCTCCACTTCTTAAATCTGTTTTGCCATTTGATTTTGACCAATGGCATATTCAGCAAACAAGACACAAGCAGAAGCTTGAAAAGTGTTTATATACTAGGGCTTCCCTCTCTTGCCTCTGATACCATATAAATATGTCTGGGCTAGCCTGTTGGATGAGGGGAGGCCACAGGAATAGATACCCCATATATATCAGTGAGCCTAGCCAATGCCACATGGAGCGAATGAGCCATTTCAGCTGGGTGCATCACAGAATTGTAAGTAAATGTTTGTTTTAAGTCACTAAGAATTGGGCGATTTGTTACATCAATATAACAAAAGCTAATTGATTTAGTAATCAACTTATAAATCTCAATATTTTACATCAACTCTAATTATTAAGAACATACAGATTTGATATGAAAGGTGTAAGAACTACTCAAACCTATCTCTATATGTACTTTTATATTTTGAAAAGAGTTACCTTCTGAACATGTAACTCAACATCTTGCTGTGTACAACTTCCAATTTTCTGATTAACTGTTCTTACAACACCTTCTACATCCACGATGCTCTCTTTGTTGATGCTGTCAAGAGAAAAAAATTCCCAACTTTAATCATTTCATCGTCAGAACTTATTTGGTGTTTCAGCAGTAAAACTGAATATGCTAAACTTTTCTTTATAATACAGTAAGCCACTTGAGATAAAGCCAGTCTAGTTAACCTACTTAGAATAAGCGATTATGTAGCATACTTTGTGAGATTCCTTAAAAAGAGAATGTTTTTGATGCCATAATTTAGTTATCTCTTATAAAATACTCTGGACATAAAAAAAAGGTAATAGGACCAGTACTGAACTGGGAAAAGTAGTAAAAAGTTTTTAAATTATTTATTAAAGAACACTTCCCTCCCTATATTTGAGATTCACTAAGATCAGCATTTCCTATAATGAGAAATATTGGCTTCAATAAATGCAATTACTACTATGTAATGGAATTAAATAATAGAAGAAGGTCAACTGAAAAGGTTTCAAGGTAATAAGAGGACATTAGGGTGCTGATATGCAATTAAACCCTCATTGTCTTTAGTTTCTGAGTATACCGCATCATTGATTTATGACCAAAAGTCTACTGGATTATGTATTCCCACATAAAAGAATGCTGCTCTACATGAAGCTTAAGACATGATGAGTATAAAATAAATGCATCTTCTGAGCAGTTTATTTTGTGACAAACTTGAATTTTGAACACCAAATTCTGAAATATATATTAATAATTTATGAAGTAGTTTATTAAACACACCGATTATTTTTTGATCACGAGTATATACCAAGGCAGAAACAGTGCAATCCAAAATGGGGATTTCCATACAAAATGTACCAGTTTTACTTTTGTGTATATTCTTATACAGAATGTGTTACAAAATATTTGGCGAAGAGGGTAAGATTTAACTTTCATGGAAAAATTAATTATATTCATTCTGATAAGGAATTGGGTTCTTAGATGTGGTGCTACTAGACATTCCAGAAACTGGACGGTGCTTATTTTACACAAGAGAACACCACAATCCATATCTTTCTTTTTTTTTTTTTTTTAAGAGAAAGAGTCTCACTCTGTCACCTAGGCTGGAGTGCAGTAGTATGATTATAGTTCACTGCAGCCTTGAACTCCTGGGCTCAAGGGATCCTCCCACCTCAGTTTCCCAAGTAGCTAGGACCATATAGGTGCACATTATCATGCTCAGCTAATTTTTCTTTCTTTCTTTTTTTTTTTTTTTGTAGTGATGGGGTCTCACTATATTGCCCTGGCTGATCCCAAATTTCTGGCCTCAAGTGATCCTCCCACCTTAGTCTCCCAAAGTGGTGGAATTACAGGTATGAGCCACGGGCCTGACTCACAAACCATTTCAAAGAACATTTTTGTTTAGGGTTGGAAAAGGATCAAAATAGATGGAGAATGGGGAAGAAAAATTTTCACTTCATTTTGCTATACTGCCTAGAATTCTATATATCTGTTACTAATTACCTTTTTAAAAAATCAATAGTATACATATCTCTCACACTCTCATAAGTCTCCTGCACTAGAGCTATCAGCTAATATCTAGATAAAATCTTGTACACTGAAGAAATTCAGAATTTACTATGGCAAAGAAGTTTCATGAACTAAGATAAGGTTCCTCTGAGACCTGAAAGGATCAAGAGGCTTCAGTTTACTGTTATAAGTGCTTTCTAATACTGGGCAATTGAGTGCCAGTGAATCTATCTTCAATGTGACTGCAACCTACCAGCTGACCTTCTCTATTTGCATGAGTAAATGTGATACCTAGGTATATGATTTAGGCCTGGGGAGAATTCTATTGCTTATCTCACGTGTCTCCATGGGGAAGGTTTTCTCCTCCTTAGTGACCACTGTACTGCTTCATCAAGTAACATGACCTACTCCAACTAGAGCTCCACTCTGCTACCTTTCCTCTATGTCCCGGATCTCCCTGGTTCTCTTACCTCACCCCCTTTGACTCCCTACTAGAAGGCATTCCATTATCAGATAGTCTTCTTTAAGCTAACTCAAGTTAAGTATGTCTACTCTCTATTGTATCTACAATAGATACAAAATGTATTGTATCTATTAATAACAAGCAACTAAAAGCCTTGGGTTTTTTACAGAGGATGTGCCAGGAAAATGAAAATCCATGGTAGAAAGCAAGAGAACTCCAGGGAATTATTTCATTGCAGGAGAAATAGACGAAGTAAATTAAACACATCTTTTCAAGAGCTAAGTATTATTACCATCACCTCCTAAAACACACTATCACCACATTATATTTTATACCTCTTTCATTTTCTAACCACTCCTCTGACCCTCCATATAATTAATCATTCTACAAATAAGATAAATTTGTACAGCTCTGATATTAAAATGCTCTAGCTAATAGGCACAATAGACTTAATGTCATTCATTAGAAATTGTCAAACATCAACTTAATAGTTTAGTTCTGAGTAAAATTGTCTTTATAAAATACAATTGTAGAAAGTACCACTCTTTTTTTTTTTATTTTTTGAGATAAGAGTCTCGCTTTGTTGCCCAGGCTAGAGTGAGTGTCATGGCGTTAGCCTAGCTCACAGCAACCTCAAACTCCTGGGTTTAAGTAATCCTGCTGCCTCAGCCTCCCGAGTAGCTGGGACTACTGGCACGTGCCACCATGCCCTGCTAATTTTTTCTATATCTATTAGTTGGCCAATTAATTTCTTTCTATTTATAGTAGAGATGCAGTCTTGCTCTTGCTCAGGCTGGTTTTGAACTCCTGACCTCGAGCAATCTGCCCACTTTGGCCTCCCAGAGTGCTAGGATTACAGGCGTGAGGCACCGCGCTAGGCCGAAAGTACCACTCTTTTTTTTTTTTTTTTATTTAGGGAACTACAAAACAGTGGAACGAAAGTACCACTCTTTATGCAAAGTACTTTATAAAAATATTTTGAGTTGGCTATTATGTTCTTTAAACAAACGATTAAATAATTATAAAACATGCAACTTGGGGGAAAGCAAGCAATAACCATTTTTTTCTGAAGGAAAAGAATTCTATGTTCCCAACACTAGTGACACACACTTTGCTACTTGGGGTCTCACTAATACCTTTAAAGATAGTTTCATTACCTACAGTTCTATCAATCTTGATTATCAGTTTTCATATCTATACCACAAAAGCTAAAAAAAAGTCTGGTAAAAATATCAGAAGTGGGATTAAGTGGGATTAAGTAACTGTTGACTGCTGAAGATCGTGTGTGATTATGTGTGTGTGTGTATATATATGTACATGTGTAGATACGTGTATATACACACATATACACACAAACCCAAAACAGGAGAGTGGCAAAAAGCCACATCATTAACTAGCACAGTAATAGTTGTTCATTATAATAGCCTCCTGTCATTTAAAAAAAACTAAAAAGAATACATAAAAATAGACTTCGAAAATTCTGTTAAAATGGTCAAATCAGTTTCAGTAAGTGAAGGAGTAAGCTTCATAGTTTAAAGTAATTTGATAATGAGTAATGCCTTATTCTTTAATGTTGCCAAAAAATTTTAAAGTTCTTAGCATATCTCTATGGTACACCAAATTACTGGTCTCATGTCTTCATTTCCCTATAGTAGCAGTGTACATCCATACCCTTGTCATGGCTTCAGGGTAGGCAAAAAGTGGCTCTGCCTTGTGGCTTAGAGTTTGGCCATATGACTTCCCATTGAATGGCTACTGAATCCTTGTTGAAAATAAACTGACCACATAAGTGAGGGCTTAATTTTGGGCTCTCTATTCTACACCACTGGTCTCTGACTGTCTTTTTGCCAGTACCACACAGTTTTGATTACTTTTAGCTTATATAACAAGTTTTGAAATCAGAAGTATGAGTCCTCCAACTTTATTCTTCTTTTTCAAGATTGTTTTGGCTATTTGGAGTCCCTTGAGATTCCATGTGAATATTAGGATAGGTTTTTCTGTTCTGTAAAAAATGCCACTGGGATTTTGATAGGGACTGCACTGAATCTGTAGATTCGTTTGGATAGTACTGTCAAGCTACTGAGTTTCCAGGTGGCTTATTATACAGTTTTTTTCAACAGTTGACTAGTACAATCTTAAACTTAAATTATAAAATAAAATAAAAAATCTTTGGGATCAAAGCAATCATCTGAACATAAGGGTTTTAAAAAAGTAAAAGTTTATTTGTATTTCATCACATACACACTGAGAACCTACAACATGTATCATGTAATGAAAAGAGATCATGAGCTACTGTGCCCAGCCTAAAAAACATATACACTAAAATTTGACTATGAAATATTAGAGTTGATTTTTAATCAAACAGAATTTAACCATTTAAATTATTACTGTTCTCTTAGGCCGGGCGCGGTGGCTCACGCCTGTAATCCTAGCTCTCTGGGAGGCCGAGGCGGGCGGATTGCTCGAGGTCGGGAGTTCGAAACCAGCCTGAGCAAGAGCGAGACCCCGTCTCTACTATAAATAGAAAGAAACTAATTGGCCAACTAATATATATAGAAAAAATTAGCCGGGCATTGTGGCACATGCCTGTAGTCCCAGCTACTTGGGAGGCTGAGACAGAAGGATCGCTTGAGCCCAGGAGTTTGAGGTTGCTGTGAGCTAGGCTGACGCCATGGCACTCACTCTAGCCTAGGCAACAAAGCAAGACTCTGTCTCAAAAAAAAAAAAAAAATAAATAAATAAATTATTACTGTTCTCTTCAAAGTGACTATTCATGGGAAGGAGGCAGAGGCCACAAACACACATTTCTAAACCACCAGTGCTCGAAATAATTTTAAAACTACTCATTTGAGATTACCTCTTCATTTTTGTCAAACAAATCAGGTTTTGGGGGAGCAATCTCATTTCCCCCTATTGTTTACTATCCTTCAGAAATGCTGAACCTCGTGATAGAACTCTGGATAAGGAAGAGGAGGAAATAATGAAAAGAAAAAAAAAACTGGAACAAAATGGTCTTCCAGAAGCCAATAAAGTAAAATGTTTCAAAAAGGAGAGAATACTTAACATATCAAAGGACTGAGTAGCCATCTCCAAA